GGAAGGGCTCAGTAAATGCTAATTCTCTCCCCAGAAAAGAACTCAGAGAGCAGAAGGGAGAAACTGCTGACAGAATGAGAGAGAGAGAGAGGAAGATGAAGATGGAGAAAAGAGGCGAGGGAAATGAGGTACAATGATAATCACCTGGCATACAAATGGCACTCCATTATTGCTTATTTCCTTCCCCAGGAGTGACAGGTGGAACAGAAAGAAGCAGGTGAATTCAGAGAGAAGGATCAAGGACAGGTGAAGTCACAAGGGGGAGAACACAGTGTATGGAAATTGCCTGGCACACAGTAGGCACTCAATAAATGCCCATTTCTTTCCCTGGCAGAGAGCAAAAGAAGCAAAGACGCTGGGTCACTGGACATGGGAGGGCAAGAGGAGGGTAAAGAAAGCATGTAAATTGCCTGGTACACCAGAGGCGCTCAATTAATGTATGTTCCCTGCCTTGGAGGAGAACAGAGAGCAGAGAAAGATAAGACTATAAGTAGGGATAGTGAAGAAAAAGGTGTAAGGACAGGAGAAATGTATGTGAAGTGCCTGGTACACAATAGGTGCTCAACAGATGTTTGTTCTCCCCCAGGGAGAGAGCAGACACATTAGAAAAAGGGAGGAAAACAAGGAATTGAAGGGAGCAAAAGAGTGTACTAAGAAAACATTTATTATTTCCCTGGTACACAGTAGGTACTCAATAAATGCCCATCCATCCACCACCCCCCACCCGGGAGTGATTAGCCACATCAGAAAGGAGAGAAAGGAATCCAGGTAAAAAAGGGGAGCAGAAAAAAAAAAAAAAAGACATGGAGGCAGTGTATGGAAGTTGCCTGACAAACAGGAGGCACTTAATAAATGCTCATCTCCTTGTTAGGAAGGGAGCCAGAAGCACAGATAGAACAGGCAGAGGATGGGCGGTCAGGAGGGGTACGGAGAGAAAGGTGAGAAGTCATTGAAGGTGCATATAGTGGGTGGGTGCTGGATTAATGCCCATTCCCTTCTCCAGGCCAAATGGAAGGCAGATCCTAAGATGGGAGACTAGAAGGAGGGTCAGGGAGAAAGGGGAGTCAGAATGTGTAAAGTGGAGCCTAGCAAGGCAGGAGGAGGGGAGAAGTGGGGGAGGCAGTTTGAGGATGGAGGAAAGTAGGAGGAGTCAGAGGGTGGAGGCTGGGTGGCCTGGGCTGCCAGGTGGGGGCCCCAGAGCAGCCAGCCAGTCAGTACCCTCCCATTCCTCCCCAACAGCCAGCTTACCCCACCCCCTGGTCTTTGGGAGCTGGACAAGGGCCCATTGTCCTGGGCCTGGCACAGTCTTGGGTGGGGGTGTGGGGGGAGGGGGAGGGGAGGCTTTCCCCACTGGGTTTGTATGTGAGTCTCTCTGTCTCTGTATCTCTCCCTGTGTCTGAACTTATATCCACACCCCCTCCCGCCTTCTCTCTCACTGTCTCTGTCCTGCTGTCTCACTGTGAGGACCTGTCCTGGGTTTATGCCTCTCTCTTGCTGGTTCTCCCTCAGTGTTAATCTCTGTCTTTCTCCCCCTGTGTCTCTGTCTCTCAGCTTCTGTTTCTTGCTGCCCCTGAGAGACAGGGGAGTCTCCTACCCACCCAGGGCCAGGGCTGAGGGCACTGAGCTCAGAGGCAGGAGGTTGAGGAAGGAAAGGAGGCGAGAAGAGTGGAGAGAGGTGAGGACAGAAACAGCTTTATTCAGCAGAAAAAACCCCCAAACAAAAACACTGCAGCAGAGGGCCCAGGCGGTCCGCCTCCATCCGGGCTGAATTGGAGAGAGGTGAAGTCAGAGAGAGGCAGGCAGGCTAAGAGACAGATGGAGAGAAATGGGAAGAGGAGAGAGAGAGTGAGAGAGAAAGAAAGGGAGAAAGAGGACACGGAGATACATATATAGAGAGAAAGACAGATACAGAGATGGAGAAAGAGACTGAGTGAGACAAAGAGGGAGAGAGATGGAGAGAGGTGAAGTCAGAGACAGGCAGGGAGGCTAAGAAACAGGCGGAGAGAAATAGGAAAAGAGACAGAGATGGAGAGAGAGACTGAGTGAAACTGAGAGGGAGAGATGGAGACAGAGAAACAGAGAAGAAAAGAAGACAGGGAAATGGAGAGACCGCGAGAAACAGAGAGAGAGGTGAAGTCAGAGAGAGGAGCCAGGGAGGCTGAGAAAAACAGGGAGACAAATGAAGAGAGACAGGGAAAGAAACCTACCAATGGAGAACAAGAGAGATGAGATGGAGGGAGAGAAAGAAAGTTAAAGAGAAGGATATATGCAGGAGGAGGGCGAAGAAAGAGAGAGAGAGGGAGAAGAGAGACAGAGGCAGAAAGAGGTCAGGGAGAGACAAAGAGACCAAGAGAAAAAGTCAGGGAGAGACAGGCAGAGAACGAGAGTTAGAGACAGAAAGGAGAGAACTAAAGACACAGAGAGACAGAGATTCACAAACAGGGAGAGACGAAGAGAGAGAAAGGGAAAGACAGAATGGAAGAGAGGCAGGAGCGGAGAGAGAAGAAACGGGAAGACAGAGAGGGAGGAAGAGGCACAGAGCTAGAGGGATAAGAGAAGAGAGACAAAGACACACAAAGAAGGTGAGGGAGATGGAGACAGTGAAAGCTGAGGGGAGAAATGAAGAAGTAGAGATGAATGGAGAGAGAGAGAAAGATGGCAAGGCAGAGAAAGACAAGAGAGACCCCTGAGTGGGTGGGACAGCGAGAGTGCAGCCCCTCTCACCTGACATCGGCGGCGACCACCACCCTGGGGTCGAGCCTGTGATTTAAGGGGCACCCCAGGGGCGTGGTTGTCCTCCCCAAGGCCTTATGGGGCCAGATCCCTAGGCCAGGAGCTAAATCTGGACTCAGCTGTCAGCACCAGGGGGCGCGGGAACAGCTGCCAACCCTCCCTCCTCACACCTGCTGTGTGACCACAGCCCTTCCCCCACCCTTTTCTTGAGTGTGGCTGCTTGGGGTGCTCCCCAACAACGGGCAGCCGGGACCCCATCTTCAACTCTGGGACCCCTACCTTGGCCAAGAGTCCGGAGTTACTTCCTGAGAAGTAGGGACCCCTGAGAAATTGCGTCCCCCAAAATGTGGGAGGGGCAGTGTGATTGGGCAGGGACATCCGGCGCACAGTAGGTGCTCAGTCAGCGCCCAGGCGACACTGCATAGATTAGTGCGTGGGGGGGCCCCTGTCCTCAGCCAGAGCCCCACCCTCACCCTTCAGTCCTGACCATATTTGGCCAGGGGAGCGCTGCACCTGAGGAGGTCATAGCCTGTCACTCTGGCCTGCCCAGAATAGAAACACTCAGGAGGCCGCCAGGCTGTCTGGAACCAGGGGCTGGGACAGGGACAGGCAGGGAGGGGGGCTGAGGGGGAGACATACCGAGATAGGAGAAGGGCTGGGGGCACAGAGACTCAGAGACAGTCTATCAGAGAAGAGACAGAGAGAGACCAAGAAAAACGGAGACAAAGCAGACACACAGAGCTTTCTCTGAACCTGACAGACAAACAGAGCAACCCAGAGCAACAGACACTGAGACGCAGAGACAGAGCAATAAACCAGACAAAAGGGAGCGAGAGACAGAGAGAGAGAGAAGAGGCAGAGAGAGACCTGGAAAAATGGAGAAAGACAGACAGATAGGGAAAGAGACAGACTGAGACAGAGAGAGGCTGTGAGTGATAAGGAAAGTGAGAAAGACGAGCTTCAGGATGCAGACCCGGCACAGAAACAGAGAGAGAGGGAGAGACTCAGACAAAGTGTGATACAGGGGAACAGGCCATGAGGAAGGAGTGTGAGGGTCCAGGTGGGGTGGGGCACATCGTCCTGGCCCCAAACTACTCTCGGGCTTTTATGAGGCGGCTGGTGGCTGGGCTGCCCCGCCCTGTGCTCAGGTTGGAACCTGTCTTTCTTGTCCTTGGATGAATTCACTACCAGGGTGGAGTATAGTGTGAGTCTGAGTGGTGGAGAAACCCACACAGCACCTTTTGGATGCCCTCACCTCTCACCCCCACCCCAGCCTCCCTGTCACCTTGGGTTCCTCAATTCAGTCTGGTGCTTGATGGGGGTCTCCAGATTTGTCTACGCCCCTTCCTCCCACTGTCTTTCACTGGGTCCCACACTACCCACATCTCCCCGACCTCTGAACCCATCTCCCGGGTCCCTATTCCCCGATGCCCCCTGCCTGTCACCCCTTTATATCCCCACTGAGCACTGCATCCTCTCAAATCCACTTTTCTGGGGTTCTCAGGGCTTCGGGTAAGCCTACCATCTTTCCCCTTACTCCTCCACCTGGCCACAGAGCCCCAAAGACCAGGCCCAGCCTGGTCCTTACTCTCTTCCCAGGGACTTTCTCTTTGTCACTCCTCTGTCTCCAACCTCAGGACCCTCTCCCTGCCTCCCATCTCACCCCCAGGGCCTCAGAGGGGTCTTTCTACACCCAGACTGACCTGCTTCTGCCTGCTCACAACTTCCCATCCTCTTCCCCAAGCCTCCAGCTGATGCTCAGCTCAGTCCAGGCCCTGTCTGCCTTGGTTCCTGACCAAGATCCCCCCTCATCTCTCATTGTCTCCTCACACAATGAGCAAGACAAACGTGTGTCATACAGCTGCTCCTCGGAAACCCTACACAGGGCCGCTATGAGTCAGAACCAATAGCAACAAATGTCCTAGGTGTCATTCCAAGTATTTCCTTCCCCTGACTTGTCCACATCCAGTGGTGGTGGTGTTGAGTTGATTCTGACTCCCATTGATCCCATATAACTAAATAGAACTGCCCCACAGGCTGTCGTCATCTTTATGGAACATGCCCTGGTGGCACACAGGGTTAAGTGCTGAGCTACTAACTGGGAGTCAGACACAGACAGTCTGGGAATGAACTGGAAGGTTTATTGAGGCAGCAGTGGCATTGGGGTGGGGGGGTGGGGAGGAGGGGTTGCCTCCCTGGGGTCCAGGAAGCAGGGGCCTGGTGGGTCCTTCCCCAGCCCAAGGAGACTGTGGTCCTGGTCCGTAGGGTCACTCTGTCTGCAGCCAGCAGCCCTTCTCCTCCACCTCTTTGGTTACCACCAGCAGCACCTCACACAGGCCCTGAGCCAGAGCGGCCGCCAGGAATGCCCTGGGTGGGAGGGAGGGACAGACGGAGACATGGGAAACCAGCCATCCTTTCCGGGGCACAGGGCTTAAGCGCTAGGACAAGACCTTGCCACTGTGGCTGCCGGGGCTTACCTGACGCCATCCTCGTCCCCGAGGGCCTCGGGTGCCCGCAACTTGGAGTCCAGATTGTAGTAGACACCGTCCACCTGGCGCAGAGCCACCCAGTGTCGCCGGCGCAGTGGCAGGGACAGCAGTCCCAGAGACACAGGAGAGGGCAGGTTCAGGATCAGCCCCAGCACTTGGGGCAGGGCCAGCTGGGACAGGGGCCTGCGACAGGAAAGGACATGTGGTCCCCAGTGGGCACCCACTGGTCAAGGTTACTGAGAGTAACAGTAACACCCACCATGGCCTCCCATGACCTTGGGGTCCCCATTTCTGTCCATCACCTGATGGGGGGTCCCCAGATTTGTCCAGGGCCATTCCTCTTGTCTTCCTTCCCTTACTGGGTTCACACCACCCACAGCTCTGTCACCATTGACCCCATTTCCTGGGTCCCTATTCCCTGCTGTCCTCATGCCTGCCAGGTGGGCATGGGCAGAGTGAGTCTGCTCAAGGAATTTTCTTTAATCAACCCACACTTTGTTTTCATATATTCTCCTGTTCATCCACCCAACCCAAGCTTCACCCATCCAGCCAACTGCCATCGACCCATCCAGCCAACCACCATGCACCCAACCAAACATTCCACCCATTCAATCAACTACCCGCTCAACAACTTACCCATAATCCACCCAACCCCCCTCCATGCTTTATCCAATCACATTGATCTATGCATCATCCACCATCCATCTATCCACTTAGCCACCTCCCATCAATTCAGCTAACAACCACCCACCAACAAACTACCCATCTACAATCCATATCTACCAGCAGGAGGAGAGATGGTCCACAGAACAAGCCATTCACCCACCCATCTACCCAGACAAACAACAGCCAGTCAGCCACCTACCCAAAAACATATGTACTCAATTTCTCATTCACTCTTTCTCCATCCACCATTGACCTATCCATTCACCACCAACCCATACATCCAGCCACCATCCAGCCGGCTATCCAACTCCCCAATCACTTATTTGCTACTTACTACCTGCCAAGCCTTGGAGTCCTAGTGTGGAGCCGTGGGTTAATGCGCCAGACTGCAAAGCCATTGGAACTGCCAAGTCTTCGGCTCAAGCTCACCAGCTGCTCCTTGGAAACCGTATACAGGGTCGCTATGGGTTGGAATCGACTCGATGGCACTTAACAACAACAACCTGCTAAGCCTTAAGCTCTGGGCTGTTAACAGCAAGGTTGGTGTTTCAAACCAACCAGTTGCACCTCGGGAAAGATGAAGCTGTCTGCTCCCATAAAGGTTTACAGTCTCGGAAACTATATACGGTTGATATGAGTTGGAATTGACTCAATGTTGGCAGTGGGTCTGGTTTGGTTTATCTACCAGCCAAGGAGCCCTGGTGGTACAGTGGTTAAAGAGCTTGACTGCTAGCCAAAAAGATCAGTGGTTTGAATCCATCTCCGTGGGAGAAAGATGTGGCAGTCTGCACCCATAAATTTTCACTGCCTTGGCAGCTCTGTGGGGCCACCCATTCTACTCTGTTCTATGGTCACTAGGAGCCGGAAGTGACTAGACAGTAGGTAGTGGGTTTATATACTAATCACCTATCCTTTATCCTTTACTCCACCACCATTCACATCCACACATCCACCAACACCCATCCATCCGACCACTCAAGTATCTATTTGCTCTCCACACCTACCAACAATCACACAACCATTCGGCCACTATCCTCCATTCATGCGCTTCATCACCCAACCACCCATTCATGGTTTTCACTCAATTACCATCAATCTACTCATTATTCATTCATCAACTCATCCCATTGACCACTTAGTAGCATCACTTTCCTACCCATCTGCTAACCATCCATCTGCCCACCTAACCACCCACCCACCTCTCACCATCTGCCCTTCTGTTATGCATGGAATTGTGATAGTTGCTTTTATATGGCTTTTCTAGCCATGGTCTTAGAACTCCCACCAAAATATTGGATAGGATGATGCAAATAAGGTGCCGTGGCCCACCAAGGAGATTGGACAGCTTGCTAGTAATGCAAATAGGGTCCATGGAACCTTGTGGGGGTGGGATCATGCAAATACAGTATGTGGAAACTTAATGAGGGGATTGATCAGTTTTGCTATTCCACTAAGCTTAATATGAGCTGTTCCAAAGGTAGAAAGGGGGCCTGACTGTCCCACTATGAAGAAGAGACGGGAGAGTGCCTTTGGAACCTTCTAGACCCAGGAGACAGAGAGTTGTAATATTGGAGATGGTGAGAAATGCTGGCAGCAGCAGAGACAACAAAAACAGGACACCAGCAGGAGGAGAGATGGTCCACAGAACAAGCCAGCCGGGTGCCGTCCAGCAAGAGGCTTGCTGGTGGAACGAGGTACCTCTGGGCACTTACTGGGGTACTTAAGAGCTTTGTAACACTTGCCCAAGCAGGACAGAGAGCGGTCTGGCCCAGGAGGCCTGAGGGTTGTGGGGCTAGCTGAGACGAGGCTATGCTTTGTGGAAGAACTGAATCCTGAGTCATTTCGGATCCTGAACTATAATCAGTAACTTCCTAATCAACTCCACAATCGTGAGTATCGTCTGTGAGTTCTGCGTGGCCACTGCCACCAAGGATCAGACCCAGCCCAGAAGTCCAAGTCGAGAGTGCTGTGGGAGGAAGGGAGGGATGGCTGGTGTCAGAATTTGTAAAAATGCTGGCACTGGTGAGAGGAGGCAAATGTGACTGTCGCCTTGTAGAAATCAGCCCTGGTGATTCTCCTCCCTCAGGAAGTTGTTGTTGTTAAGTACTATTGAGTCAGAGATGCTGTATGATGTTTCCAAGGAGCGACTGGTGGGTTTGAACCTCTGACCTTGTGGTTAGCAGTCCAGTGTTTATCCTACAGCGCCACACCAGGACTCGCCTTCATGAAGTTAGAGGGGGTCAGATGCTTCTGCCATGTCAGTTTTATAACCCTCCCACTCCCCAAAAAATAATGTGCGCTGAAATCCTAACCTCTATGCCTGTGGTGGCTCTACGGGTTAAGCACTGGACTGTGACCCACAAGGTCAGCGGTTTGAGCCCACCAGTTGCTCCATGGGCAAATGATAAAGCGTTCTGCTCTTGCAAAGATTTCCAGCCTCGGAAACCCTATTACAGGGTCACTATGAGTCAGAACTGATTGGACAGCGCTGGACAACAATGGACGTTAACGCTGACACAGTGGTTAAAGCATTCCACTGCTAACCGCCACCACCATCACCGAGGCATTTGGGAAAGGGTTTTCTGTTTTGATGACGAGGCAGGGTTAAGTGTAGGGTGTGTCTCTTACATGAGAGAAGTGGAGATTAGGCAAACAGAGATGGGGAAAGGTTGCCAAGCCACACACAGACTGCCCAGCCCAGGACCAGAAGTTCAGAAGAGACAAGCATCGTCCTCCAGAGCTGATCCTCCCCGAGAGCTGGTGCTCTGCATTCACACTGTTAGCCTCCTAAACTGAGAAAATAAATTTCTGTTTGTGACAGTTGCTCACTGTGTTGTTTCTGTTATCTAAGCAACAGAGAACACACGCACCTTCTTTCTGCCTATCCAGCCATCCTCCTGCTGCCTCATCCCACATTTACTAAGTGACCCTCTGTGCCCAGGCCAGCTCCCATGATGCAGCGCTCTGGGTCCTACCTCCGTCTGTCCCACCACACAGCAGCCAGGCCCAGCCCCTGCAGAGCGGCCATAATCACATTGACGTCATAGTTGCCAGTGCCCAGGAGGCTGCGATGGGGGTTCAGCCGGGAGTCTGGTGCCAACCTGGTGGGGGAGGGCAGGGTTGTGGTCAAAGCAGAAAGTCACCCCAACCTTTGGACTGTTTCCTCTTCAAACCCCACAACTCGTCAGCCCCCAGGTCCTTGTTTGTCCTCTCCCATCTGAACCCTTGCCCCAGCCTTCTCCCTGACCTGCAGTTTCTCTCTTTAGTCCAGCTCACAGGCCTCCCTGGCTCCCCTGCACCTTCAGGATGGACTCCCAGTCCCTCAACCTGATATTTGAGGCGCTGTGGACTTGGCATTCAAGGCCCCACATGGTTTGGTCCCTGTTTAGCTCTTAGTCTCAGACCCACCCCATATCTTTCCAGCCACCTGTTCCCCAACCCCATCACCAGAGCTCCAACCTCTTGATCTTCCCTCCAGCTGTCCTACCCACACCCATATCCCCCTCCCCCCAAGGCCCGCTTGTCTCCATTTGTCTCTGGGCCTGCATTCTCAGGAACAATAGCCCCTCTGTTCTCTTTCTGGGCCCTCAGTGGACAGGGAAGGGGAGTCAGAGTAAGGGAAAATTTGTGGGTTCCTGTTCTTCATCTCTTTCCCTCTCCTGATGGCAGACTCTCCCAAGGCTGGATTCCTATGAGATTCATCTCTGGGTTTCCAAGTGTGGTAGACAGAGCTGACCAAAAATCTCCGATTTATTTGAATGAGGAAGGAGCTGGATATGTTCTAGAAGAATGAATCTCATGGTGGGACTCGGCCAGAAGATTCTGGGGGAAAGTGGGTGAGAGACCACTTTGGTATCTTATGGGGTGACAAGCTGGGATGTGAGTCTAGACTGAAGAAGACAGGTGCTGAGGCTTCGGAAACACAGAAAAGGAGAGGGGACAGAAATAAAGCAGTCATGTGTGAAAACTTCAGCATGCCAGGCTTCAGAGAGGAGGAAGCCTGTGCAAAGGTCCTGTGGCGAGGCAGTGGCTAAGCACTTGGCTGGCAGGTTCAAAAGGTGGACTGTTTGAACCTACCAGCAGCTCCTTGGAAGGCAGTCTGTTTCCACAAAGATTTATAGCCTTGGAAACCCTGCGGGGGCAGTTCTACTGTGTCCTAAAAGGGTCACAATGAGTCAGAATAGAGGGCAGTGGGTTCGTACCCTTTTGGTTATGATCCTATTCAGGAGTAGGTCTTTTGTTTGTTGTGTTTTGGTTAAGTTAAGGAGACAATATTAGTGTTGTTGTTAAGTGCCATTGAGTAGTTTTGACTCTTAGCAACCCTGTAGAAGGTTTTTGAGGCTGTAAATTTTGTGGGTGCAGAAAGCCTCATCTTTCTCCTGTGGAGCAGTTGGTGGGCTTGAACTGCCAACCTTGTGGTTTGCACCCCTGTGCTGATCTTACAGAGCCACTGTGCTCCTGTATTAGTATAGGGTGTGTGTTTCTTAAATCAACCTCATTTGAGATACCAAAGAGCAGAGTAAGCAAGCGGCACAAATGGTGGGGAAGATTAGATACCACATGCTTCACCGCCAAGCAGCCCAGGCCAGAAGTTGAGAGGAGACAAGGATCTTCCCTGAGAGCTGACAGAGAGGAAACACCCTCCCCAGAGCTGGCATCCTGAATTCCGACTTCCCGTTTCCTCAACTACAAGAGAATACATTTGTTTGTGAAAATGACCACTTGTGGTATTTCTGTTATGGCTGCACTAGAGAACAAAGACAAGCAACTTTGGGTTGAAGGGCGCGGGTGCAGTGAGACACGAAGCTTCAGGTGGGAGCCAGAGTGTGCAGGAACTTGAGTCTCAGGCTGAAGGGCTGGGCTTTGAAATTCTTGAGGTACTGGGGAGCTATGAGCAATATGTGAGCAGGGCAAAGTGGAGTCTGGGAAGCTAGGAGGCTGGGAGGAGGGTCCAAATGCGAGAGGGGGAGGTCTGAGCTGAGACTGAAGTAGGAGGGATCCTCCCTACCAGGCCTGGTGGAGTGGGCGGGGCAGCAGAAAGCCCCCTGACTCTGCCCCACCTCCCGGTGGTGATGGTCACCTCTTGCAGATCTCATCCGCAGCCTCCTGGCTGAAGAGGCGCTGCTGCAGAACGTTGTTGAGCGCGTGGACGGCACACAGTTCCAGTCGCTGTCGCTCGTGGTACACAGACGGTGGGCTCTCCCGAGCTGCCGAGGCCTGGGACATGCCGTCCTCGGCTCCTGAGGGGTTTGGGGGGTGGAAGGGACTGGGAGCTCAGGATCTGGAAGCCCAAGCTCCAAGCAGGAGCAGGCCTTTGGGGGTGGGGGTTCAGGCAGACTGGGAGCACACATAAGTTCCTCTATCCCTTGCCCCTAAAAACAAGGCTTTCTCTTTAGCCTACCTAACAACAGAGGACCACCCCCGCCACATCACTAAATAAAAGGGTCCCTTTGTTGGTTACCTAGCAACGCAGGAACACCCCACTCCCTGGCCTCTGAGTTAACAGGTCTCTTCTCTGGTTGCCTAGCAACGGAGGACCCCCCCCCCCCAGGTAACAAAGTCTCTTTTCTGGTTACCTAGCAATAGAGAAACCTCCTTCCCAGTCGCTAGGTAACTGGGTCTCTTTTTGGTCGCCTAGCAACATAAGACTCTTGTCACGTGGTAACAGGGCCCACTCCCCAGTCACTAAGCAACAAGGTCCCTTCCTCTTATAACCTGGCAACCAGCCCCTCTTCCCCAATACCCAGCAATAGAATCCCTTTCTCTGACCCGTACCCAACCGCGGCGCTCGCCCGTTGCCTGGCAACGCCGCTCACCCTGCCTGCCTCTCTGCTCCCCTGGGTCAGGGGCCTCGGCATCCCCCTGGGCGGCGGCTCCGGACTCCGAGCACCGGGCGGGCAGCACGGCGCTGACTGGGCAGACGGGACAGACTGCAGCTCCCGGCAGCCTCCGCGCGCCGGACTACGATTTCCGGCGGCTCCCGCGGATACGCAGGCTTCCAAGGGAACGTCTGCTGTCGCCGCAAGAAAACGCCAGACTACATCTTCCGTCGGTCATAGCGACGAACCCGGAAATACATCTCGCAGAGGCCCGCCTTCTTGCGTACATTCCTACTACCGTACCCTCTGCTTCACAGAAGGATTCTGGGAAATGTAGTGTATGTGCTATCGAGATAGCGGCTCGTCGTTTTACCCCCAAGTGGGTCTGTCTCTCGTGACGGCGTCATGCACAGCGCGTAGAAGCAGCGTGACATCATAGGGAAACAAGAGACGAGAAAGACAGGAGGACCATTCAGGGAGATGAGTCTCAGATCTTTACTGAGACAGGCGGGAGAATGGGGAACTGAGGGCATGCACGGGAAGGTGGTGGTGGGAGATAATTGCACAAAGACGTTCTCTCGGGAGGGAGGAGACTTCTCAGCAGAGGTAGATTCCCGGCTTCTTGGGGAGCTGGCAGCAGCCTATGAGGGAGAGAGAATTCAAGACTGAGACAGGGGATAGAGAGATGGAGATGAGGAGAGACAGACACCTAGAGTTAGGAGGGGCAGGGCAAGGTGAAGGGCAATCCCTAGAGGGGGAAGGACAGAGAGACTCAGGGGGATGAGGGACAGAGACCGGGGTGGGGGGCAGAGACCCAAAAAGCTAGGGGGACAGAGACCCAGAAAGACGGGGACAGAGATTCAGAGAGAGGGAGACAGAGCTGGGGGAGGGGCAGAGATTCAGAGAGAGGTGACAGAGACCCAGAGAGGAAAACAGACTGAGAGAGAGAGTGGAAGGACAGAGATCCAGAAGAAAGACAAGGACGCAGACTGAGACAAAGGTCCGGGTGTTAGGAGACAGTTAAAAACCCCAACCAAACTCTCTGCCACCGAGTCAATTCCAACTCATAGTTACAGAGGGTTTCTGAGGCTATTAATCATTCTGGGAGCAGAAAAGCCCCATCTTTCCCTCCTAGGGATAGGCTGGTGGTTTGAACAGCCAACTTAGTGGTTAGCAGTCTAGCGTTTATCCTACAGAGCGACCAGAGACCGTCAAAGGGCTTCAACTAGACAACCAACTAGGACAGAATCACAATGGCAGCCAGAACCGGAGACCCCCAAGGTCTGCGGAATGCTGGGGAGGGGACCCTGTCGCACCTAGGAGGCTTCTCCAGAAGGCAGTGACTGTCGCAGAGCCGGTGACAGCGCCTGGTTCAGCTGGGTTCTCCCTGTGAGTGTGCACGGCGAAGCTGCGGCCCGTGGGACCTGGGGGTCCGCTCAGCTCCACGTCCACCACGTGCATGTCTGAGAGACTGGGACAGGCAGGGCGGCTAGTCGGGCTGCCTTGGCCCCCAGCTTCCCCTCCCCACTTTGTAGCCTCACCTGAGATCTGCCACCAGCACCCCGACCACTCGGTCGAAGCCCAGGCTGGGGGCGGCCAGGGCGGCGGCCGCCATGGTGTTGGAGTTGCGGGGGGCCATGGGGCACAGGCCTCGGACCGGGCCCTCGTAGAGTACCGTGCGGGGCCCGAGCAGGGGGACTGTGGCTAGGGCCCCCTCAAGTCGGAAGCCGTCGGGATGCGTGGCCATGGTGACGCGGAGGCTCTGGAAGCGGGAGGCGGGGTTATGGGGCGTGGTCTAGGCAGCCGCGCGCGCCCCCACCCCTATGTCCGGGAAACCCTCACCTGAAGGCCCCCTGCTGCATCCAATCTGGTGATGTCCTCAGAGCCCCACAGGGCTCCCCGGGCGACGAATACCGCGTGGCCCCAGCGGTGAGAGGCCTCCCGGAGCTGTTGTTCCGTGGCCTGGTCAGCCAGGGCTGAGGGCGACCCCACCTGGGGGCATGTGAGTGGGAGAGGAGGGACCGAGGTCAGGGTTGGCTGGTGGGGTGGGGTCTAGGTGGAAGGAGCAGGGGCCAGCGGTCATGAGCTGGGGAGGGGCTCACCAGTAGATTGGCATGGTGCAGGATGTGTGCCCCAGAATCATGGATTATTTTGGGGTGGGCCACCTCTACCACCAGATCAGGGTGCCTGGAAGAGGGTAAATATTGGGGAGAGCCTGGGAAAAGGGTTGCCCGCCCCCTGTCCCTCAATTCTTTCCCAGACTGCGGGCACCTGTTCCCTTTCACATGTGGTGAACAGATTCAGAGAGGGTGAGGTCTTTGTCAGATCACACAGCAGTTGAGTGGGACTTGGACAGAAGCTACCTGAGCCCTGCTCCACCTGGACAAGGTCACTGACCTCTCCCCAAGGGCAGCGAGGTCCTGGAGCTGCAGGGAGGCAGGTACAGTCCCGGCCATTCGTCCTGGATCCCGATTCCAGACAAACACAAGTTCGAGGCCCAGTTGGGGTCCCTGAGTCAGCAGGTGGGAGACAAGAGACTGTCCTAGGGAGAAGATGAAGACAGTGCTAGAGAGGGGCACAGAGACCCAGAGTGACAGAGACCCAAAGAAAGGGAGAGTAGAGACTCAGAGAAGGGGGACAGAGACCCAGAGAGAAAGGGAACAGAGACTCAGAGAAAGGGGATACTCAGAGAGAGAGTGGGACAGAGACCCAGAGAAAGGGGGAGCAGAGACTGAGAAGGGGGGACAGAGACTCAGAGAGAAAGTGGACAGAGACTCAGAGAGAGAGGGGGACAGAGACCCAGAGAGACAGGGGGACAGAGACTCAGAGAGAGAGGGAGACAGAGAACCAGAGGGACAGAGACCCAGAGAAAGGGGGACAGAGACTCCGAGAGACAGGGGGACAGAGAACCAGAGAGACAGGGGGACAGAGACCCAGAGAGAGAGAGAGAGAGAGAGACCCAGTGGGAGGAGGAGACAGAGACTCAGAGAGAGGGAGGGACAGAGGCCCAGGAAGAGTGGGGAACGGAGACCCAAAGAGAGGGGTGAATGGAGACCCAGTGGGCTATGGGCAGAGACACAGGTAGGGACAGAGACAAAGACACATGAGGAGGAGGGACAGGGTCCTGGCCTGCAGCAAGGGGTCTGGGGAAGGAGGCGAGAGACATGCAGGACTCACCGAGGCGTCCATAGCCCACCACCCCCACCCTCCTGGGGACCTTGTCGAGAGCCATCCCTGGGATCTGGTGGCTGGAGTCTGAACTCAGCCCAGACACTGCTCCCTGCCCCCTCCAGGCCTGGGCAGTGGTTGACCTTTGGACATTTGACCCTTGGGCCTCTCTGGAACCTTCCCTCTTCAGTGAACCAGAGCTGAGGGAGTGAGTCTGCTGGGGTAGGGGTGGGTGAGGACCCTTCCCTGAGTTCGAGGTGTGTGTATGGGTGCCCTAGTGTGCTGGTTGGTACTCAAGGGCCTCCCATGGATCCCGTTCTATCCAGGCTGCCCTCCCAGCTTTCCTCCTCCTGGCTTGCTTGGTGGAAAATTTCCTCTGCAGTCTCCCGCCCATCTTCGGCCCGGCCAGGTTGTCATGGAAACTGCATCCTGCTTGGGGTGGGGGTTGAGAGGGCTTGGGTGGGAGCTGGAGGAGCTAGGGACAAGGGACTGGGACTCTCCCTCTTTTTGGCACGTTAGTGCATTTTGTCTACCAAACTACAAAATCCCAAGCCGGTTGTCACAGAATCGCTTCCGATTCTTGACGACCTCTTGTCCACGCGACTCCCCTAGTCCTCCCCTGGGTCTCTGCCTCGGGCCTCTCTCTTTGTCTCTCTGTAGCTCTGTCTCTAGCCCTCCCTGCCCCCATCACATCTCCTCCTGGTCTGGTCAGCCTGCAGTTCTGTCCCCAGCCTGGTCTCTTCCCCTTTTCCCTACCCCGCCTGGTTCTCAGGTGGTCTCAGGCCAGCCAGCTCCTCCGTCGCCCCAGCCATGCCCCCTGTCTCAAGGGTTCCACGTCCCACCGTCCGCAGGCTTCTACATGTGTCCTTCAGTCCACCTTGACTCTTCACCTTTCACTCTCCTCCCTGCCATAATGCCACAGCCACCCGCCTCAAGTTAACCCCCATACCCGTCCCCCCCACTCATTTCCCAGGAGCCCAGGAAAAGGCTAGAGACCCGGGGCGTCCTCAAGTGGCCCCCCAGAATGTGCCCTGCCCGGCCCCTACACCTCTCGGATGCCTGGCACGGAAAATGGCGGAGGCTGCGGCAGCCCTATGCCCTGCCCCCAACCACCACCTGGTACCCGCTGCAGTGTTTCCATGGCAACCAGGATCCGCGCTGAAAAGGACCGTGAGGGAAAGAGAGCATGAAAGGGAGGCTGGGGGCGGGGGGCGGCCAGTCCCGAGTCCACAAACAGTCGTTGACTGCTAAGGCCGGAACCCCCAGACACTTCTTAGCCCAGGGAGTCTGATGGGAGTTGGTAAAGGGAGGATGTGCCCCAGGTGGGGGTAGGAACAGCCTGGAAAGCGGTATGGGCAGGAAGACCACAGCAAGCCGCACCAAGCAGAGGGGCCCTGCGTGTTCGACCACCCCCACGGTTGTCACTTGATCTGGACTGGTGTCCCTCAGTGTTTGCTCAGGCGAGGAGAGCTGGAAGAGGGCCTCCCTCCTTGGTGCACGGCTGTCAGACCCACGCGGGCTCTGGTCGCCGTGTGTCTTCATCCGCCTCTCTGGACCTGCAGTTTGCACGCGCGCTAGCGCCCGCTCTCTGCTGAGACGTGGGTGTATCCTCTCCCTCAGACATCACACACTCCCCCCACCCTGACATCTATCTGCCTCTGGTCCAGGGCTCAGTCCTCGCTGCGGTACTTCTAGGCCGCTGCCCTCTCATCCTGGCGTTCCAGTCCTGAACCGACCGCCGTCTTGCCTGCCTCTTCACTTCAAACTAGGGCGCAATCACAACTTCCCTGGAGCCGGGCGGGCCTCATCTGCAGCGCTGCGGTCCCCCAAGTCCCCACACTCACGTCTCCCACTCCCTCCACACGACCCCCTTTCCACCGCAGCTGTTTCTTGAGTGGCTTTGGGATCGAGTCCAGTCCGCCCTCGTTCAGGGGGCCCCCTCAGTTTGCTCTGCTGTGAAGTCAAAAAAGCGAAACAAAAACCCTTCACCGTGAATTCTGACACATGGCGACCCCATGCGTTATGGAGTAGAACGCCTCCAGTGGTTCTCCATGTCTGTTATCTTTATGATAGGAGAGCCTGGTGGCACCGTGGTTAAAACTCTCCGCTGCCATAAAAGCTGGTCGGTTCAAACCCACCAGCTATTCACAGGAGGGGAAGATGTAGTCTGTGCCTTGGAAATCCTATGGAGAGTTCTACTGTGTCCAGTAGGGTCGTTAATGTTAGAATGGACTCGATGACAGTGGACAATCGTTACAAAACCCTGGTGGCGCAGTAGTTAAGTGCATGGTTGTTAACTGAACTGTGAGCGTTTGGAACACACTCAGCAGCAATTTAGGAGAACAGATCTGACCATGTGCATCCTTAAAGGTGTGTAGCCTCAAAACCCAAGGAAGCAGTTCTACTCTGTCCTATGGGATCCCTATGAAGGCGCCTAAAACAACAGTCTTTATGGAAGCCGGTCGCCAGGCCTTTCTTCTGCAGCATCACTGGGTGGTTTTGAACCACCAACCTTTTGGTTATTAGACACCCAGAGAGGCTCTGTTAATGAAGGGAACAGTACCAGTTTCTGGCGTGTGAGGGGATTGAATCTCTCTGGGGCCTCCAGTCATCCCGCATGGACACCCCCCTCAGCATACCAGGTGTAGGGCCAGCTGTCCTGTTCCCTTCCTGAGGGTGCTCAGACACTGGTTTTCATCCCACCCCCACCCCCACCCCCACCCCATCCCATGTCCCATCTCCATTTTGTTTTCTCTCTCCCCCAAGCTGTCAACACCCTCAAAAAAAAAATTTTTTTTTTTTTTACCGTTTTCCGTGTTTTTTTTAAAGTAATTACAGAGCAGGTAGTCGTTGAGGCAAACCTCCCTTCAGTATCAAAAGAGTCTGTGGGGCGGGCAGGGGGAGGGGAATTAGGACCCCCGGAGAGGACAACGAGGTGAGGCTGTCCCCCCTCAGTCAAGAGGAACAAGGATGAGTGGAGCTTAGCGCTGGGGGACCACAGGGGGGACCGGCATGGCGAGGACCAGGGTATTGGGGAGGGTCGAACAAAGCTCCCTGTTTCTTCAGTTTCCAGGGTCGAGGGTGGGAAGGGGAAATGGGGGAAGTTTCCAACTGCAAAAAAACCCAACCAAACAAAAGAACAAAAACCATAAAAGGAGGGTAGTTGTTGGGGATAGAACACGCCCCCCCCCAAAAAAAAGCTCCTCTCTCCCCTGGCAGAAGGCAGAGGGCCGGGCAGGGTGGTGGGGAGAGCGAGAAGAAACACCCCAAGTTCTGGCCCTTCTTCTGAATGGTCGGGTCGCCGCGGGGGTGAGGGGGCGTCCAGGAGCAGCTGGGGGCTCACAGCCCGCTTGTCCCCACCTTCCCCCGCGGATCCGGGTGACCAGCCGGCCGGTGAGGGACACGAAAGAAGGGGTCCCGAGTCTGGCCCGTCCCCCGTGGCTGGCCGCAGAGAGCCCAGGCTTCAGATCTGCGTTTCTTGCACGTTCTCCTTGGAGCCGCTCTTGAACAAAAGAGGTTCGTGGATGGAGTTGAGGCCCGGCGGGCCCTTGCCCCCGCAGCCCCCGCCCCCGGGGTTGCTGCTGTAATGAGCCTTGAAGGCGGCCGCCACATAATGCTGGTGGTTGAGGTGGTCCCGCTCCAGGGCTGGCAGGGCCAGGTGGCTGTCCCCGCCCACGCCGCCCCCACCGGCCACGGCGGCGGCCACGGACACGGCCGAGGCGGCGGGCAGCTCGTCCTCCACGTTGATGATCTCCACCGTGCGCGTGGGCCCGTGGTGCTTGTGAAGCTGATGCTGCTTGCGTAGTTTGTAGAAAGCCACCAACATCACCGCCGCCATGAAGGTGATGGCCACGAAGCAGCCGATGATGATCTTGGTGGTCTTCATGACGTCGTCCAGGTCCTTGAGGGCGTTCTCCGTCACGTCCGTGATGGGCACCGTGAACGCCTTCTCCGTGGGCCGCGAGGAGCGTGGCGCGGGCGCTGTGGTGGACGAGGCGGCGGCGCCCCCCGCCTCCCCGGGCCGGCCCCCGCCCCACGCGCCGTCCGTCGTGGGCCCCGGTGGCTCCTTTTCGGTGCCGCGCGGCTGCAGTGCCTCCTCGCCAGGCTGCGTCTCCAGGGTCTCCACCGTGACCGTGGTGAAGTAGGTGTAGCCGCCACCACCCCCGCCCCCGGGGCCGCCCCCTGCGCCTCCGCCCGCCGCCACGGGGTCCACGGCCGAGACGTTGAGCGTGGCCGAGGCGGTGGTGTTGCCGGCCGAGTTCGTCACCATGCACGTATACTGGCCCGTATCCTGCACGGTGACGTTGGTGAAGTTAAGCGTGCCATCATGCAGCACGGAGATGCGCACGCGGTAGGAGCCGTGCGTCATGAGCGTGCCATTGGGCGTCAGCCAGTTGACTGAGGTCATTGAGGTGCCGGTGCGGCACTTGAGCTCAGCCGCCATGCCCTCGGTCACGTTCAGGTCCGTGGGCGGCTCCACAATGACAGGCGCATAGCACGTGAAGTGCGACTGGTCCAACTCGCCGATGTAGCGCCCTTTGAGGCCTGCGGGCGCGTGGCAGCGCGCGCAGCACGTGGTGTTGCTGGGCACCGTCTCCTTGAGCCACCAACTCAACCAGAGCACATCACAGTTGCAGTGCCATGGGTTGTGGTTGAGGTGTACGCGTTCCAGGCGATGCAGGGGCGTGAAGAGGTCATGGGGCAGCGACATCAGGTTGTTGTGCGACAGGTTGAGCTCCTCCAGCGACTTGAGGTCGTCGAAGGCGTTGCGCTCGATGGTGGCCACCTGGGCGTGCATCAGCCATAGCTTACGCAGACTGGTGAGGCCCTGGAAGGAGCCCGGCCGGATCAGATCCAACCGGTTGCCCGACAGTTCGAGCTCCTCCAGGCGCACCAGGGCCGTCAGGTTGGGGATGTCCTTGAGGTTGCACATGCCCAGGTTGAGGTAGCGCAGGTTGACCAGGCCCTCGAAGGCTGCCTCCGAGATGTATTCCAGTCGCTTCAGCTCGCCCAGGTCCAGGCGCCGCAGTGAGGGCACGCGGTTAAAGGCGTACGACGGAATGCTTTCGATGGGGTTGTTTCGAAGCCAGAGCTCGCGAAGCTTGGACAGGTACTCAAAGGCCTGCGTGGGCACCGTGGTCAGTCGGTTGTCGAATAACTCCAGCGTGTTGAGGCTGGGCAGCCCGTTGAAGGCGCCCACTTCGATCTTACGCACCAGGTTCTTGCTCAGCTGTAGGATCTCCAGGTGACGAAGGTGTTTAAACGTGTCCGTTCGGATCACCTAAGGAGGAGGGGGAGGAAGACCGATCAGTACAGCTAATACTGGCTTAGAGTAAACACGAGAATAATACTGACAAGTGTTGAGGGTGTCGATAAGCAACTGGACCACTCACACTCTATTGGTGGGGGTAAATAATGGTACACTTTGGAAAACAGTTTGCTAGTTTCTTATAGCATCAAGCGTAATATTACCACGTGGCTTGGCCATTTTACTCCTAGGTAGGTGTTGACCTAAGAGGTGTGAAAACGTGTGTCTATCTCTACTGGGCAACTGGAGCCCTGGTGTGGCACTGTAGGATAAACACTGGACTGCTAACCACAAGGTCGGTAGTTCAAACGCACCAGCCGCTCCTCGGAAATCCTATACAGGGTCGCTATGAGTTGGTGGTTTTGGCAGCACATAACAACAACAGCTGTGTAATTACAAACCCAACTGGAAACAAACAATCCAACTGTCCATCAATCAGGGAATGGGTGAACAGTCTGAGGTACCTCCATACCATGGAATGAAAATGAATGAACTCTTGGTATGCTCAATAGCTACCCAAGCATCCAAACAATTATGGAGATGGCTCAGGAGTGGACATTTCCTTCTGTTATACATCAAGTTACCATGGATTGGAAACAACTCGATGGCAATTAACAACAACCACCACGCTGATGTGAATATCACAGACATTGTGTTGAACAAAAGAAGCCAGGTACCAATGAATATCTGTGGCAGGGTTCAGACGGACTTGATTTGCCTCTGAGTGTGTTGATGGGGTGGGAGGAGGACTGGGAAGAGGTCTGAAGGAACTTTCTGGGGTGGTGGATATATTCTCAAGTGGGGTGGTAGTTACATGGCTGTATGCGACTCTCCAAACTGCAGTCTTAAAATGCGTATTATATTATTTGTAAATTGTACCTCAATACAAAAGATGAAGATGATTGAGCACTTCCTCCTTGCCACACTTGTTTCTTGATGCTTGATGGGTAATAACTCCCTGAGAGTAAGGTCCCTGCTTCCCGAAGCCCTTAGAGCTCGGCACACAGAAGACTCCTCCTCACTTTGGCACCAATCCCATTTGGTGGCAAAACCTCATCAAAATTCCCATGAAGCTATTTAAAGCTCTTATTGATCCTACACATGTGACTGTTCAAACATTTCACTCTAGAAATATTGCCGACTTTGATCACGGTATAGGACCCACTGGGGTGTTAGAGACTATGAAGTGCAGAGTACCTTTATAATATGAGAATCCACCACCCAGTCTTGTCTGTCAGTGTGCCACACTGTGGTGCACGTGTTGCTGTGATGCCGGAAGCAATGCCATCAGCATTTCAAATACCAGCAGGGTCACCCGTGATGGGCAGATTTCGGTGGAACTTTCCGACTTGACTAATGGTTACGGATTTGGCTTATTTTGGTTTAGTTAATGATGTGGAAATACAAACACCCCATTGCGATCAAGCGGATTCTAACTCACAGCGACCCCTATAGGGCAGAGTAGAAATCCCCCGGAGAGTCTCCGAGGCTGTCATTTTTATGAGAGCAGACTGTTACATATCTCTCTTATGGAGCACCTGGTGGGTTTGAACCACTTGAATGCTTGACCACTGTGCCCCTAGGCCTCCTCATGCTATGATACTAAGGGAAATGCTGTTTTTGTTGTTAGGTGCCGTCAAGTCGGTACTGATTCATGGCGACAATACAACAAAACACTTGTCCGGTCCTGTGCCAACCTCATAAGCATTGCCTTGCTTGAGCCCACTGCTGGCAATATTCTTCATCATGTTTTAATAGTCACGATTCCGGTGCTATCTAACAGTGTTCCACTGCTATTCATAAGGTTTTCAGTGACTAAATATTTGCAAGCAGTCTGCCTCTTCTTCTTCCTAGTCTGTCTTTGTCTGGAAGCTCAGCTGAAACCTGTCCACCATGGCTGACCCTGCTGGTATTTAAAATACCTGAGGTATAGCTTCCAGAATCACAGCAACTCACAAGCCACCACAGTACGACAAACAGACAGACAAGTGGTGGACAGGGGAAATAGAGAACTCCAGAATATTATGTGATTGCAACTTCACAAAGATTACCAAAATGTTAAGAACAGGGTAGCCACATATATGCACACACACAAAAAAGACTGAGAGAAAATATCCCGACTTAGTAGTAAACTCTGAGCGCTGGCGATTATGGACAATTTTTGTTCTTTTTTTTCTTTGATCAACAAAAATTATGTTTCTAAGAAGCAGGAAAAAATCAGCACTGGACTGTGAACCACAAGGTCGGCAGTTCAAACCCACCAGCTGCTCCTTGGAAACCCTATACAGTGTTGCTATAAGTCGGAACCGACTCAATGGCTCTTAACAATACCTATGTAGGAGGGTTCTGGTGTGGTGCTGTAGGATAAGCATTAGATTGCTAACCACAAGGTTAGCTGTTCAAATCCATCAGCCGTTCCTGGGAAACTTAATACAGAGTTGCTATAAGTTGGAATTGACTCCATAGCACTTAACAACAATATACTTAAACATAAAGTGCCCTGGTGGGTGGTTCAAACTCATCAACCGCTCCGAGGGAGAAAGATGAAGCTGTCTCCTTCCTTAAAGATCCTGTAAATCCCAAAAAGGTTTACAGTCTCTGGAACCCTAAGGAGCAATTCTACCCTGTCCTATAGGGCAGCTTGGAGTCAATATCAACTCTCTGGCAATGAGGTACCTACACAGAACACCAGAATGGAAAACATGAGAATGTTCACACATTGTCACTGAACAACTTGGGCAGAAATTGTTGAATGAGAACCTAAACTGATGTGTGGTGCTTCAGTGAAAGTACAATGAAAAGCTATTTTTAAAAAAGTCCATACCTAACAGTATCACTGAATTCAACATGTAGAAATGAGGATTGATGTATGTTTCTGCTGGGTATGTTCTCAACAACAAAATCAATTACTAACAGTAAGACTGTATTTGATGCATACCAATGCTTATTACAGCACCTTTAACAATTGCCCAAAGGTGTAAACAACCAAAGTATCCATCGACAGACGAATGGATACACATGTTGTTAAGTGTTGTCGAGTGGGTTCTGACCCATAGCAACCCAGTGCATGGCTGTTAACCAAAAGGTCAGTGGTTCAATCCCACCAGCTGCTTCACAGAAGAAAGTTGGGGGCAGTCTGTTTCTGTAAAGATTACAATGTTGGAAACCCTACGGGGCATTCTACTGTATCCTGTAGGGGCTCTATGCGTCAGAATCCACTCAGTGGCAATGGGATAGGGGCCGGTGGAAAGGGGAAACAGCGCTCACTACATAGAGACACCGAGTTTCTTGTAATGGGGATGGAAAAGCTTGGATGTGGATGGTGGTGATTGACAGTTAAATGTCTTGAGTTCTCTGTCACTGAACTGTGCATACGAAGTAGGCTGAAATGGCAAATGTTTTGTTACATATGTATTTATCTGACACACAGGATAAAAGGAAGTCAGAGTGTGTCTACATGGAGAAGTATGTGTCAAAGTAAATAGAGCACAATGTTAACGATAAGCTCTAAAACGCCATTTCATTGAGTCCATTCTGACCCCTAGGGACCCTATATAGGGTTTCTGAGACTATAAATCTTTATGAGAGCAGACAGCTTCATCTTTTCTCCCACAGAACCGCTGGTGGGTTTTGCAGTTCGCAGCCTGATGCCTAAAACACATTACCACCAGGGCTCATTCATGATAGGATCCAGGTAGCATGTATGTTTGTGTTCACTGTACAATTCTTCCAACTTTTCTGTATTTCCCAAGCATTTCATAATAAAATATTGGGGGAGGTGGAAGATATATCATTAAACTTACATGTGTCTAAAAACAGTGGAAGAGGACATCAGGAGAGTCAGAGAAATGTGATGGGGGAAGCAGGGTCAGAGACACACTACGCTTCTGGCTTTGGAGATGGAGAGGGGAGCCACCAGCCAAGGAATACGGGTGGCCTCTGAAAGGTGGGAGATAGTCTCTTCGAGCCTCCAGAAAGGAACACAGCCCTGCCATCTCCTCAAAATTTACACAGTGAGCTGCAGAGCGGTGGGGTAATGAATTTATTTTGTTTTAAACCCTGGAAGGCACTGAACAGAAGGAACAGTAATGTTTCTGGCCCAGTAATAATCATAAAACAACAGCTATTACTGATATCAAGGAGCCTTAGTGGTGCAGCAATGAAAAACTCAACTGCAAACCCAAATGTGGTCCAAACTCATCAGTTGCTCTGTGGCGATCTGCTTCCATAAAGACTAAACCCCATACCAAATCAATCCACTGCTGTTGATTCTGACTCACAGCGACCCTATACGGGTAGAGCTGCTGTTGGGCTTGAACTGCTGACCTTGTGGCTCGCAGTCCAATGCTTATCTTGCAGCGCCACCAGGTTCCTTCCTTTTTATTTATTTTAAAAAATGTTTTATTGTGAATTATGTGATAGTTCACATGGGAGAACATTAGTTTTACATTCATCCTATCGTATATCGTTTCATTGCCATGGTTACAATCTCCTCCATGTATCATCAACCAACCAAAGGGTATACACTACAAGCCTACCCCCCCCCCCTCCCCCGTCGTCAGCACACAGCCCCTCTCCCTCTCTGGGTTTAAAGTCCCCAGCTGCTCCATTGCTCCACATCATTGTCTCTGCCTCCATCTCTGGCATCAGTACTTCTGTGGGTAGGGTCCCACTCTCCACTCTTCTCCCTTCATGGTCCCAGGGACTTCCTCTCCTAGACTGCAAAGTTAATCACTCCCCTCCTTGCTACAAAATGTCTACCTTTACATTTCCAACCCTCACAATCAGTCCTGATAACAGTTATTCACTATTGTATCACAAGAGACCTGTCTGCATTTCATTTCATCAGCCCTGCCTAGACAGATTGGATACTACTCACTGGACATTCCACCTTCCTCCTTGCCCTCTGGAACTAGGCTCCCTCTTGAAAGCTTGTAAGCCATTCACTTCAGGTTCCTTTCTATAGATTGTTG